GAGGGAATCCTGCCTGCAGGGTCTAGGCTGAACCTGATTCCAGAGGCCAGCTTCCCCTGGTAGTTGCAAAGCTACCATAACGTAGCTTGGATCTGCCTAGGTACTCAATGTACTTCCTATTCTAGCAGTGTTCTTGTGTACAAGGCCTTACTTGACACTGATACTGAAAAATATCACCTTCTGCACACCCACTGGAAACATATCCCTTCCACTGCAATGCATCCCAAATTAGGGTGGAGAATGCAATTCCATAAGGATTAGTGTGCTGTCCAAGCCCCAACTATTAAATGTCACCATCCACTTACAATGGACGATGAAATCCTCCCACATGAATCTTGAGCCCTATCATGTATGGAGAATATGTAAACCAACACTGGGAAACCTCTAAGAGTTTGGAGTTTGGACGGAACATTGCTCTGAGAAATTAGAAGTATTACGCTAACACAATGGTAGAACCTCTGCAGCTAAAACCTGTCAGGACAGATGCTAAAGAGGTGTAAGTATGGAAAGGGTCAGAGTAGACAGTAGCAGAGTCAGCTGACTGTTGGCCAGGTCATTTGCAGTCTACAGAATCCAGACAGGTAAGCAGAGGATTAGTAAAGGTAATAGGCTGATGGTCAGGATAAGCACAGAAAAGCTAGGTATAAACACAGTCCAAACAATACTCAGGAATAATCCAAGGTAAGTACAGTCAGACAGAAGTCATAGATATTCAAAACTCTGTCAATTTCATGATAAACCTGTTGATCAGGTATATGTGTGAGGGACTACCCATGCTTTAAAGCCCAGTAATGAGGTCTGGGTGCACAACAGAACCCAGAACTTCAGTGCCCAGTAACAAAGAGCAGATGGAAAATTTTCAAGGCTTATTGTTACAAATTTCAGCACAGTGGCTTAATGGTTAGCACACTTCTGCCTGGCAGTACTAAAGTCATTGGTTTGAATCCCAACCATGGCACCACCTACCTGGAGTTTGCATGTTCTCTCTGTGCCTGTGTGGGTTTCCTCCGGGTAATTTGGTTTCCTCCCACACTCCAAAGACATGCTGGTAGGTGAATTGGATCCTGTCTAAATTGGCCCTAGTATGTGTATGTATGAATGTGAGTTAGGGACCTTAGATTGTACACCACTTGAGGGTTAGCAACTGGTGTCAATGTACAATATATATGTAAAGTGCTGCGTAAATTGACAGCGCTATATAAGTACCTATAATAATAATAAATGATACATTGGGAGAGATTTACTAACACTGGAGCACTCAGAATCTCTAACGTCTAACTTTAGCTTGTTCCCATGACTATTGTGTTGCACTGCAAAGAAGGAAGCAGAACCTGTGCATGTAATGTGCAAATATGACTTCCCCATATGCATATAACATTACAAATTATACACAGAACAGGGGCAGACTGACCATTTGGAAACTCGGGCAGTGCCCGAGGTCAGCAGGGGGCCCCATGAGATGCCCCTGGAACCTTTTTCATAGGCTTTTTTGAGTTTGGGCAAGGACACAGGGGCCCCATAATTCCCTATTGCCCCATGAGTTGTCAGTCCGCCCCTGACACAGAAACAAGGTTTTTAAGATCATACATACCAAGAAAATCATTTACATTAAGCTGGCCTCCTTTATGTGTTTTATCCCAAAAACACTTCAAGTATAACTAAAGGCAAAACCTTTTTTTTTTTAAGCTTTGGAAAGAGTACAGAGGGATTAAAATGCTTGTCAGGTTTTATTGCTATCTGTGCCTCCGTTAGGGGAGATTCACCCTCCTATTTGTACTGTTCACCATTATCATTGAAAGTAAAAGAAAATCCAAAATTTGGGTTGGGAGTTGGGGGCACGTTGCGTTGAGCCGTGGATCTGCTTTTTGTTGTTCTGGTACAATATTTTCTTAGATGCGCCATTAATACACCTAATTGCTCCTGGCAAGATTTATTTCACTGCAGCTCGGCTAGATAGAATGACATCTGTCAGCACAGTCATATCTCAAGACACATGCACCTTTGGATTCCTTGTTTAAATATACGGGCGTTTATGCTGTTGTAGTGGCAGCCATCATTTCTGCTGAGTCTTCAATTCATGGTGATGGCGTGGACGTCATTCGCTGTACCGGATAAAACTCGGTGCCCCGAGCATCAGCTATCCTGAGGGAAACTTCAGAGGGAACCAGCTACTAGATGTGTCAATTAGTCCTTCGTCCCTACACCCAGGTCAGATGACCGATTTGCATGTCAGGACCGCTGCGGAACTCCACCAGTTTCCTCTGGCTTCACCCTGCCCAGGCATAGTTCACCATCTTTTGGGTCCTGCCGCGTGCGCTCAGGTTTGTATACTACCAATTGGTGTCGGCTGCCTTATACTTCTAGTCAGCATGGATATTGTTTTATTTCAAAATTTGGCTTGCCGCCAGAAAAGTAATAAAAGGAGAAATCTGCCAATGGGGACAGTAGTTTTGGTTACTTGGGGGGGCTCCAAGAGATTCCTTTAGTTTGCAGGGATTGCTTCTCATTTCCTGTTGTGGCTATGGGACAGAAAGTGAAGGAAAATCTCCGCAATTGGACACAGATGGTGAAAAAAAAAATGTGACAGGGGTTATAACCCTGCTGTACACTATCCGAAATGGAAAAAAAAAAAAAATGTTATATAGTGCTACTTTAAAACTTGTATACAAGGAGTGTATAGTAATCGATGTGAACTTGGCTTGGTGGCATGAATAATGTACTAGTTTTCTTATCACCCTAACAATCAAGGAATGACTAAAGGCTTCTTATATAAAAATAATCATGATTGTCTTCATCACAAAACAGGGTAAATCACAAACCGTAATAGGATATGAACAGTAGTAAACACATACATTTAAGACATGATAGTATTTTCATGCACAGGCCTATGGTTTGAAGCACAGCCCAATGATGACCTTCCACCTACAGCAACCAATGCGAAAACTGTGCCCATCGCGATTTATTGATTGATTGGTTGTTGGGGGTGTGCTTTGTTAAACCTTTTAGAATCTTAGACAATCACTCCAGCAGGCTCTTCAACTGAACAATTACCTGACAGCAAGGCTGAAGAGAGACTGTCAGTAAAATTAAACTGAAGTTCAATCTTCACAATGAGAATGCGAAGTTTATTTTGCACAGAGCCTACCCCAACACATTGCATCCAAATGTTATTTGTCAGTTTGGGTTCAGTTCTATACCACACATTAGAAGGAACCATACTTTCTAGCATGGAGGAAAAAGATCCTACCATAGGATGGCATTATTCTTGAATGGAACATTGCTACATAGCGGAGGATGACACAAAGAATATGTGCTCTCTTGTGACAGATCTGTTAATAACTAAACTGTAAACACAGGGATAACAGATCTGTCACTAGATAGCACATATATGCCACTTAATCCTCTGCTATGGACACATTTCAGCAATGTCCACATAGAAATTGCAAGCCCTGCCCATAAATTCAGCAATTCCAGCCCTTTGTAGGATACAAAAGTTATACATTTTTATTACAAATTCATTTTTAAAAAAAAAAAAATAAACACAATAATCTACATAATAGTGATATATCCTAAAACAAGGAAATAATTGTCTATTTTTCGTGCATCACTCTAAATTCTAATTCTTGTAAGCTCCAGTATTTTCATCAGGCTTTTTCATAATGCAGTTGTATATTCCCTTTTTCTCTCTGTTTACATAGACATAATTACATAATTAGCTATATTTTCTTTCCTAAATAGCAAACATGTTATACTTAAGTGCACTGTGCAAAAGAATTGCACAGAGCCTCCTCTATCCTCCTCTTTAAGGGTCCCCTTCCTGCACTCCTGGCGCTTCATCTTCTTGGTGTGCCACCATTAGAATCTGCTTCCTAGTGTGGCACACCTACTGGCTCAATCCTGAGCCATGCTGCTTGCAACCATAGACACAGACAGTGTGCTCGGCCTCGCCACAGGATTTGACTGACAGCAGCAGGAGCTTGCTGCCTCAGTAAAGCTTGTGAATGCAGAGACAGCCACTGCAGATGGACACAGCACTGGCTAGAGTGAGGTCTCGGGTAAGTAAAAGAGGGGGTGATATTAATGCCTAAACATTTTTATTTATTTATTTTATTTCAGGTACTGTCAATTTACGCAGCGCTTTTACATATATATTGTACATTCACATCAGTCCCTAACCCTCAAGGGGTGTACAATCTAACTCACATTCATACACACACATACTAGGGCCAATTTAGACAGGAACCAAAAAACCTACCAGCATGTCTTTGGAGTGTGAGAGGAAACTGGAGTACCCGGAGGAAACCCACACAGGTACAAACTCCAGACAGGAGGTGCCATGCATGGTTGGGATTTGAACCAATGACCCAAGTACTGCCAGGTGGAAGTGCTAACCATTTAGCCGCTGTGCTGCCCTATCTTTTACCTTAATGCAGGGAATACATTAAGGTAAAATGTTTAGGTTTTTGAACCACTTTAAGAGACGTTCACACCAAACCTCCTCATTTACAAATTCTGTTCACATCTTGCATTTCTTTTAGCCAGTCCTGACCCATTTGTGGGCAAATCTATCAGCTAAACCTAAGATGGTAAAGGGGATATTGGAGCTACTGAGAAGAGTCCCGAGACTCTCTGTAGAACATTATACATTGTTATTTCCTCATTCTGCACTCTAGATTAGAGGTACAATCTAGACCACATTTTGGTTAAATATTTAGAAAACAGGTCAGGTAACATAGCCTCTTACAAAATAAATAGTACCATCCTTCCTAATTACCGAAGGCTGCATGAGCTCTTAATACTGCCTTGCAGACTGACAATTCAAGAACATCAGAATGGTATTTATCCTATACCTGTAAATATTTCTGTTGCTGCAGCATTTTTGGTACTTCCCCTCCAAGGCAGACATATATTAGGTGTAATGGACACTAACCCATCAGACAGAACTGTGTTGTGTATTTGTGTATCCCCAGCAATGTATATCATTTTAGCCCAACACCTACCAAACGGAAGGACCGCAGGACTGACAGACCTTCGACATTGGCCAGACCCAGCTCTACCAGACTCAACGTGACTATAATGCTGTCAAATATATTCCATCCCACCTGAAAGTAGTCATATGGATCCAGAGCAATGATCTTAAAGAACATTTCAGCTGCAAATATACCAGTGAAAACCTGTTTTTAAAACAAGAATAAAATAGGTCACTGAACCCAGTGAAATTTATATCATTGGTAGTAGAAACGTTTAGTGTGAATACAGAATTCTATATTTCACTTCACTAGAACACCAAGTTGTCTAGAGCAACATGTACAGATAAAATACAGTGGTACAAAATGAAACAGAAATTTAGAAAGTTGTGCTTGTTACAACCTAAATTAGATGCACAAACAAGATAACCAATTGTCTTGTGTTTAAGATTTAAAATTTACAATCGAAGGAATACACAAGGGTAATATTTATTTAGCACGAAGCACAAAATTCGAAACAAATCTGCCATATATTATCTGGCCACTAGAGGTCTCTTGTGTATAACAGAAAAATGCTGTTGGTTCAGCCATGGCCTACAACTCATAGAGAGAACTGCTGAAAGGATTCTACGATCTTGCCTGTAATAAACGTTTTCTTTTAGATTTGACCTACTCTCAAACAAAAAGCAAGCAATGTTTTCCAGATCATGCGTTATACAGTGGATATAAAAAGTCTACACACCCGTTAAAATGTCAGGCTTCTGTGATGTAATAAAATGAGACAAAGATCAATCATTTCAGAACTTTTTCCACCTTTAATGTAACCTATAAACTACAACTCAGTTGAACAACAAACTTTTAGGTGGAGGGAAGTGAAAATAAAAGACTAAAATAATATGGTTGCATAAGTGGTTGGACACCCTTAAACTAATACTTTGTTGAAGCCCCTTTTGATGTGTTTCCAGCACTGAGTCTTTGTGGGTATGAGTCTATCAGCATGACACATCTTGACTTGGCAATATTTGCTCGCTCTTCCTTGCAAAAACACTCCAAATCTGTCAGATTGCAAGGGGATCTCCTGTGCACAGCCCTCTTCAGATCACCCCACAGATTTTCGATCGGATTCAGGTCTGGGCTCTGGCTGGGCTATTCCAAAACTTTCATCTTCTTCTGGTGAAGCCATTCCTTTGTTGATTTGGATGTATGCTTTGGGTCCTTGTCATGCTGAAAGATGAAGTTGTTCTTCATGCTCAGCTTTCTAGCAGAAGCCTGAAGGTTTTGTGCCAATATTGACTGGCATTTGGAACTGTTCATAATTCCCTCTACCTTGACTAAGGCCCCAGTTCCAGCTGAAGAAAAACAGCCCCAAAGCATGATGCTGCCACCACCATGCTTCACGGTGGGTATGGTATTCGTTTGGTGATGTGCAGTGTTGTTTTTGCGCCAAACATATCTTTTGGAATTATAGCCAAAAAGTTCAACCTTGGTTTCATCAGACCATGACTTCAGATGTGTTTTTGCAAAATTTAGCCGGGCTTGGGGGTTTTTCTTCGTAAGAAAAGGCTTCCATCTTCCATTAAAGGTGGAAAAAAAGTTCTGAAATTATCTATCTTTGCCTCATTTTTTTACATCACACAGACATGACATTTTAACAGGGCTGTGTAGACTATTTTATATCCACTGTACATGCTTTGAATATTGCTGAAACCTAGCAGACATGCTCCCTACAAAGAGGTCAAGGGAGAATGTCACCAGCACACCGAGAATCACCAATATAGGTCCAAAAGTTTTAATGAACGATCACATCGTTACAGAAAGGCAACATTTCGGAGTCTCGCAGGACCCCTTCATCAGGCATGTGGCAATCAGTCTCCGTAATGTTGCCTTGATGTAACTATGTGATCATTCATTAAAACTTTTTGGACCCATATTGGTGATTCTCGGTGTGCTGGTGACAATCTCCCTTGCTGATTCTGTTCGGCTCCAGCTGACAGTCTCTGCAGCACCCAGTTAAACACATTTTTAAAGCAGGAATGTGTGCGTTTGGATTGTACACCTACAAAGAGGTCAGGCACATACATTCTAAGTCTTCTCTCATCTATCATATCATATCCTGTCCTATCCTAGTCACACTCAATTATGGGAAATTGGCTGGCCAAATATTGACACCACTTTACCTTTTTTTTTCTTTTAAACCACAATTTGTTTTCTTTATGCACATATAAATCATGAAGCAGATATGTACTTACCAGATTGCCTACATTCAGCACTTGCTGGAATTGCTCAGTCATTGGATAGTGCTCCATAGCCATGAAGAGGGTATTGAGCACAATGCATATAGTGATGCCAAGGTCTACAAAGGGATCCATGACCACAAACTTCACAAACCCCTTAAACATCACCCATTGCTTGCAGCAGTCCCAAATCAAAAATTTATGGGCAAACTTGTACCACCACGGGGGGCACTTCTGCTGGGCTTCCTCTAGTTCTGCAATGAAAGGAACTTTGCTTCACATTAACAGAAACAACTGGCCTGCTTGGTTACATAAGATTGCACTTATAAAGGATATACTGTATGTGTAAAGGACCCACAGACATTAGATGAAAGTCGCAAGATACCAAGGTTTGTTCAATTGAGAGCATGCATGTTATCAGTGAAAAGTCTGTAAGGCTAGCTATTGAAAGGGTCTGTACACTGAATAAAGTTCCTGCATCTGCCTACCTTCTGTATCTCAACTATCCCTATTTAATTTTTTTCTATTTTCTGTTAAGGAGAATGTAACAGTGCTGTGAGGGGAAAACCTGTTTTAGGCTGCATTCTCACTTGAGCATTTTGTAGCTTGAAGCTCGAAGCATGAAGCTCAAAAAAAGCTCAAACTTAAATAATCAATTTTTTTCTATGGTGTCCAGGGGCGGACTGACAACTCATGGGGCCCCCCGGGCAATAGGGGATCATGGGGCCCCTGTGTCCTTGCCCAAATTCAAAAAAGCCTATGAAAAAGGTACCAGGGGCATCTCATGGGGCCCCCTACTGACCCTGGGCCCTCAGGCAGTGCCCGAGTTTCCAAATGGTCAGTCCGCCCCTGATGGTGCCTGTTCATACCTGTTCACACAAACAAGCACCCTAGAGAACAATTGATTTTCTAAGTTTGAGCGTTTTTGGAGCTTCAAACTACAAAACACTCAAGTGTGAATGCAGCCTCAGACTGCTGTCCACATAGACCACAGGACAATTCCTCTCTATTACTATTTATTCTGGTGACAGCTATAAAATGCCTGATATCTCATCACTTTTATCTCATTGACAGTGGTTGCCAGAACAAATAGACAGGGTTAATCTTCCAGAGGTCACATAAATAAAAACAGGACACATTCTATCCAAAGCTAGAATAAGTTTTGGCCTTAGATAAACTGAAATATAATTTTTTATAAAATTACTTATCATACTAAATGAACATTCAACTACAGGTTACGCCCTAGTGAGCACCCTTTCCTTTAAAATCAGTTCCTGTATCTGCTAGAAGAAAGTTAAAATGTCATAACTGACTTTACCACTGATTACATTGTATAGAACAGAACTTCATCCAAAAGGGGAAGTTCTTCTCCCCCCCCCCCACCTTTATTTTATTTTAATTTTTTTTGGGGGGTGGGGGTACCTGTCAGCAACAGCATATACAATGCAAGAGCAGAAGGCTTCCCCCCCGGTCCACATTCTTCTAGGACACGTCACTGGTCCCAGGAGGCTGCGGGACCATTCACAAAGCGTAGCGTGGCTCGCGCATGCGCAGTGGGGAGCCGGCTGTGAAGCTGTAAGCAGTCACAGCAAGCTGCCCACAGTTAATATGCTGGTGCTAGGGACAGAAGACTGGAGAAGAAACCGACCTGGGTAAGGACAGCACTGGATCCTGGGACAGGTGAGTGTCTGTTTATTAAAAATCAGCAGCTACAGTTTTTGTAGTTGCTGACTTTTAAGTTTTGATAAAGTGAGTGAATAACTGCTTTGAAGATCTAAAATGTCAGCAGTTTATGTACAGTTTTTTGGTATATTAGACACCATCCTTTTGCACAGACCTTCTATCATGGCTTCGGAAATAACACTAACTGAGCTCCCTGCTTTCTTCTGTAAAGTCGGCTCTCCCAGATACATTTTAGAGTTCTTCTCAAGATCCGTCTTCACTGAGCTTGCCTGCAAATAAAGCAGACACAGGTGTGTGATGATGCTCAGGGATCAACAAGCGAAGATACATGGTTGTACTGACAGACAATAACTTCCAGACATTTGTAGATGTATTATGTGCATGAAAAATAGGTGTATGTGTAATTAAATATAAAAGAAAAAAAGAAAACATGAAGCACAAAAAATTGAAGAGCAAAACAATTGGCTCATTTTAAAGCCAGCTCCACAGCAACATATACTTGTCTTCCCTTCATTCTCCTGTAGCTCCAGTTGCAATGTACCCCTGGTAATTACCCTTGTTAGCTCCAAGTTGATTCTGATCAGAACTTAAATAAGGCTTTGGACCCTCTCCTCACCTATGTGAGTGCTGGGGTGTGTGAGTGTCCATTTGCCTAACACCACCGCTGTCACAAGGGAGGAGAGGAGTTAGCCACATGCTCCCCTTTACCCAGAAGAACATCAAGAGACAAAAAGCAGCAGACTGGGAGGATGGTTGGAGTTGGGCAAGGGGAAGGGGACTATAAGCCACTGAAGAAGCCATCACTGTGGTAAATCTGTTGCTTTGCCATGAAAGGGCAAATGAGAGGTTCACTTTTGAGCTATCCATGGACACAATACACGTCCCTTATCCTTGCAGTTTTACCTGGATCAGTTTAGAGGGCTGTCTACTGGGCAGTGCAAGGTAGACAACTTTGGGCCACCACCCTAAGGTGGAAAGACTAACCCCATCTCTCTAGCCATTACATTTATACAGGGCCGTCTACTAGGTGCCTTTAGTGTCTAGCACAGTCATAGCCATGCAAGTCAAATAGAATAAAGTACAGGGCCATAACTCATTTAAACCAGAAAAGATTGACAAATCCAATGAATTCTAGACATCTTAGTTATAAAATATAATATAACCAACCATCATCATTAGTTATTAATAAGGATTGCTAAGGACAGTCAGAGCACTCACATCGTCATCCAGAGAAGCCACTCTTTCTATTACCACTCGCGGTATAACTCTTCCATTGCAGTCCAACTTTTCTGTGCCATCTTCTGTGAGGTCTGGATCAGAGGGAGGTTTTTTCTGTTCTCCGTTGACCAGTCCTACAGATGCTACACTGGATTTCTGCAAAAGAGAAGTAAACTATCCATCAGCAAATCACAAGTACTGTAAAGTTCCAGCCCACTGCCAAAAATCAGTATATTTTAACTTCAATACTTCAAGGTAAATTCCCCTCAATACACGCATTTCAGGTACATATGGTTGCCAGCCAGCTAAATCACACTCTGACTTTGTACACTTCTTAGGGAGTCCAAATGAGAGAAACCCCCATCACAATCTAATTCTCCCCAGCTACAGCTATTCAGCTCTCTTAGTACCAGACTTTCCCCTGATGGATTTCCTAAAAATGCAGAATAAAAATAATATTTAGAGAATCCAGAATAACAACATTTGGCAGAGACACTGACTACTCACAATTAAGAGTCTCATGTCTCATTCGTGGATGGAATGGCCTTTTAAACGCACTGTGCACATTTAAACCCAAGGTAAACACTTCAGCTCTGCCTCATTAAAGTGTTACTAAACCCACAAACAGTACAATCAGTCTGTGTATGCATTAAAGCATGCTTGTTATACTGTGAAACCTAAGGGGTTAATCCTCTGCATTGTGTAAAAAGGCTGTTTAACTTCTCTGATCCTTCCCTTCTTCCAGTGTCTTATCTCCTGATAATATCCTGACATATTGGTGGAGACACTCTGCACAAGCTCAGTTTAGTGTGTATTGCTAGAGAGATTTGTTTTTTTTTTCTTGGGAGAGTGCATGTGATCAGCACAGGACCAATCTGCACTGTTCAGACAGAGGTCAGGGATTTTGCATCCTCCTAGAGTAGAATGAAAACTCCTCCTACAAGCTTTAACCAGTGCTCTGCTGAACACTGATATAAGTCACAAAACTTCTCTAACTGCCGATGATAAAAGGTATTTAGCAGTTTATATTTACTAAAATAATTACATTTCCATGTAGTGTGTACTGTGGGAAACCAGATACAGTGAATGCAGGGTCCGGGGAGACCAGATATAGTGAATGCAGGGTCGGGGGGGAGACCAGATATAGTGAATGCAGGGTCCGGGGACACCAGATATAGTGAATGCAGGGTCCGGGGAGACCAGATATAGTGAATGCAGGGTCCGGGGAGACCAGATATAGTGAATGCAGGGTCCAGGGACCAGATATAGTGAATGCAGGGTCCGGGGACACCAGATATAGTGAATGCAGGGTCCTGGGAGACCAGATATAGTGAATGCAGGGTCCGGGGACACCAGATATAGTGAATGCAGGGTCCGGGGACACCAGATATAGTGAATGCAGGGTCCGGGGACACCAGATATAGTGAATGCAGGGTCCGGGGACACCAGATATAGTGAATGCAGGGTCCGGGGACACCAAATATAGTGAATGCAGGGTCCGGAGAGACCAGATATAGTGAATGCAGGGTCTGGGGACACCAGATATAGTGAATGCAGGGTCCGGGGACACCAGATATAGTGAATGCAGGCTCCTGGGTGTAGTAACACTTTAAAGTAAGTTTGGTTTCATTTCTCAGCTGATTTGTTTAACCATTAGAGGTCCTGTGGGAGGAAGACTGTATGGTCCACTTTAGATGTCCTTTTGGCTGGGAGTAAACTACATTATCTATTTTTTTACTTTTTGAGGAATTACAAGGTGTTCTTAGACCAGCTGTAATATATCATTCCTCCAGCAGGTTTTTGGTCTACTCTGGAATCTCTAGAAGACTCCTTCCACACTAGTCAGTCACTTTGATTATCCGGTGACCAGGGGCGGACTGACCACTTGGATACTCGGGCAGTGCCCGAGGGCCTGGGGTCAGTAGGGGGCCCCATGAGATGCCCCTGGTACCTTTTTCATAGGCTTTTTTGAGTTTGGGCAAGGACACAGGGGCCCCATGATCCCCTATTGCCCGGGGGCCCCATGAGTTGTCAGTCCGCCCTGCCGGTGACTTAAAGTAATTCTAAAGCCAAAAAGGTTTTGGAGTGGCCATACATAGATTGAAATTCAGCTTGTTCAGCAGGGACTGGGCAAATTTTGATCCATGTATGGGCATCTGTTGATCGGCTTCTGCACAACCAGCCTGTGAAGTTTTTCCTGAATGATCAATGCCACTTGCTATAGCAGGCAGCACTGATCCATGTATTCTGACAGCAGGGAAGGTTCCCCACCTTCAGAATACAATAGTAGAGCAGGAGTGAATTAAGTCATTTTGTTTCGTTCAACCCACTGGTTGAACAAAAAAAAAATTATTAATGTGTGGCCAGCCTTAGTTTTGGATAAAGTAGGGAAAGGTTAAAGAAGTCTGGGCATATAGAAAATAAACACACATGCTCACCTCCATGCTGCAGCATCAGTCTGATGCTGCAGCTGTCCCCGCTGGCTCTAAGCCCGACAAATGAATGATCACATGACCACTGATCGAACTCTGGGCAGAGAGCCGTGACTGACAGTTTCCCACACTCCTGTATCTCTTTAAACCTAAGGACTGATTCAAGCTGCTATCACAGGGTTAAATGTATAAAACCTAGAATAAAAGTATATACATATGGTATTCATCCAGCTTCTATTTTTTTACTGCAGGTTGTAAAATGAATGCAAACAATTGGTTGAATGGTACAATATACAATCTGAGTTTTTAATACTTGTATTGCAAAGATCAAAGGCACCGTGCAGCAATAAAACTGAAGTACTGCACATCAATAAATCAAATATTGTGTCAATAAATCAAGGATCTGAGCTTGTACATTGCTTCATTAGAAGCACAATCATCTATACATCAAAAAATGAGAGATTCTTAACTTCAGTGAAATAAAGATACTCATCCTGTACAGCTATAAATTAGATGCCCAGAGCTGGACATAAATAATCCAGGCACTCCCATAAATCACTCAGTAAGCAATGCCTGTCTATAAGTCCAAAGTACTTTCCCTGTATAAATCCAGGTCAGCAGCACATCAATAGATCAAACACGCCAAATGCTCCAATGAGTCAACAGCACAAAGCTTTGTCTTGATAAAATACAGCTTGGAAGGCAAGCTATTTTCAGGAATCTCCGATTCTTTCATCTATCCCCAGTTTAGCCTCAGACAAAACAATAAAACTATACCTGTGAGGGTCATATGTTCAAATAGGCCTGTCCAATAATAACAAGAAAAGTGATTTAAGCATTATTCACAGTGAACAGTCAATAGGGCCAATTCACATAGCCAAAATCAGTTATTTTATATTCATTTTTTTCTTTTTTTTCTTTTTTAGCTCATGGCACCTTTTGTTCAGTTCGTAAAAATAAATAGTGTTGTTTTGGAATCTTTTTTTTACTCTTTCTAAAAGAGACACTAGACAACTGAAAGCCTCTCTTTCCCATGATTTGGTATTTTGGTGTGTAATATCACCCCATACTGCTACCTTTCCTGCTGTCCTCAAAACCCACCTCTTAAAAAAAAAAAAAAAAACTCCTGGCAAAAGCTAGAGATATTTTTAGGAGCAAAAAACTATGTGATAATCTTTGCAAATTGAAAAACAGATGCTGGTGCTCTATACCGCTCACGGACTCTATTTCTGCATTTAAAATCTTTGTGAGTTGGCATACAAAATACCATAAAAAAATTAATAATATACCTGTAATAGGAATGAGGTATAGTCAGCAGATTCATGAAAAAACAACAAATAGCAGATGGAGATGAATATATCCACTGCACTTGGATTTAGTGAAATAAGGCTTCTGTATGCATTCACTGCATCCAAAGCAGTGTGCCAGAGCTGACAGGGAGGAGAACTGTATTGTTTACACACAGTTCTCTTCCACGTTGGAGATCTTCGGCAATCACCGGGCGCCAGCGAGTAATCACCGGCTGGGACCCACTGATTGACAGCCGCGGCTGCGAATGATGGCACGGGTAGGGCGTGCGCTCCCTACCCAGAAATGCAAAATCACACACACACACACATATATATATATATATATATATATATATATACACATATATATGATTTTGCACACCCGTGCCGCCCTTTAGCAGTATATCTGCTATAGGGCGGTCGGGAAGCGGTTAATCGGAGCACAAAATAGGCCAATAGTAGTAAAATCAGTATAATTCTTCAATTGTGCAATCGAAAGAGTTTGAACACAACAGAAGAGGGGAAATAAACATGAAATATACACCAAAGAAAGTATGGGAAAAAACAGCATCCTCAAGTAGAGCAACTGTGGAAGGCGCATAGTCCCTGATATCACATTAGCCCTGAAGAAGCCTGTCCATTACCATCTGATCAGGTGCTAGACTGGGAACGTCTAGCCATGGTTGCCACATAGAGTAAAAGTGACAGGGACCATTTCTATGCTGATATGTCAGTTTTTCTCGTATAAGAAAATTATATTTAGAATAATCTTGAAGAACAGCAGCCATATACAAAGCAGGATGGTAGAGGGATACAGTCTATGTGTAGACTCAGCAGATGAAAATGTTGGGGCCACTATTTTAAAACAGCATAAGGAACTTGCAAGTCAGTGAAAAAAAAGATGGAAAAGGGCACTTGTGGGACTGCATAACCAATATACAACACAGTGCATTCGTTTTGAGGGACTCACTAGACGAGTATGCAGTATGCGAAGTCAAACTGAAATTAGAGCTCATGACCTAGTTTGGTGACTAAGAAAGCCAATGATCAGAATGACTGCCAGGGCGCTTAACAACATTACCTTCATATTTCTCCCACAGCATTGCTTCCTTTAACTCAGTGGTTCTCAACCTGTGGGTCGCGACCCCTTTGGGGGTCGAACGACCCTTTCACAGGGGTCCCCTAAGACCATCAGAAAACACATATTTCCGATGTGTAAATCGCAGCTACTGTGTAGAAAGTAGCTGCTGTGTTGAAAGCAGCTACTCTGTTGAAAGCAGCAGTATTGGAGGTAAAACGACACTCATGAATTATAATTACTGGGTAAATAATTTTATGGTTGGGGGTCACCACAACATGAGGAACTGTATTAAAGGGTCACGGCATTAGGAAGGTTGAGAACCACTGCTTTAACTGAACACCATTCAATGTGATG